CGCCTGCTCAGCCTCTTGCTGCAGCAGCCATACAGCAGATGCCTGGGGGCAGGCTCCCCATTGGGGACAGATGTCACCATTCCTTGGAAACTGTCCCAGTTGGATCCCAGGAAGGAGAATTCGCTGCTTTGGCTCTGGGAAATGGTCTTCCGCCATTGCTCGAGTGGAACTTTCCCCAGGCGGGCAGGCTCCTCGCAAGGCCCTTTCCTTCTGGTATCACCTCTGCAACGGTCTCCATCCAGGCAGGGGATACCCAGGGCAGGGCCTGGGGTATCCTGTAAAGCGCTGCTTGGAGCAAGCAACTCCTGGCTGGGAACATCTTCACCTGTGCTGCTTTTCTTGGGACAGGCTCCTCCATTGGATACCAAGCCAGGAGCCTTCAGAGGTTCCTGGGGGCAGGTTTCCAACTGCTTCCCAGAACTGGTGCAAATTCTGTCAAGATTTTCCTGTGCAGGGAGGTTTGGAGCTGGGTTTGCACCATCCAGCTCCGCTGCACGTGCTCTGCTGCCCGTTGTGCTGGCTGGCACAGGAGCCCAGCTGCCCGGCTGCTCCCTGGGGCCCTGGGGCTCCACAGGGCTCCTGGCCCCACTGTGGGGCTGCGGAGGGGCCTCTTCCCCTTGCTCCTCTGCCTCCTGCTGCCCCTCTCCTGCGGCCCCCGTGCTGCCCTCTGCCCCGTGCTGCTCAGCGCTCTCGGCGTTAGCAGGCCTGGGCTCCAGGCCCATCCTGACATCCTGGCAGTGGTTGTTCAGGTTGGGATCGCTGGACGTGCGGGTCAGCGGGCTGCTGGAGTCGCAGGCTGAAAGCAGGTCATCCATGGATCTCGTCTTTGGTAATCTAGAACCCAAAAGCAAAGTCAAGCTCAAACCAAAACTGAAGCTTTCCTTGTTTCCCTAGAAAGTGAGGTGCAGAAAGGAAGCATTCAGGGTGACAGAGCACTGGAACAGGCTGCCCAGAGAGGTTGTGGAGTCTCCTTCTCTGGAGATCTTCCAAACCCGCTTGGACGCAGCCCTGTGCCACGTGCTCTAGGTGACCCTGCATGTGCAGGGGTTGGACTAGATGACCTCTAGAGGTCCCTTCCAACCTTAAGGATTCTGTGATTCTATGATTCCTTATTACAGGTGACTGGGGCTGGTAGGGGAGGCCAAGCAGCACGAGCTGCAACCCGCAGCGCTGCAGAGCAGCCTCAGCCATGGGGCCCTTCTTCCATGGCTGCGACATGGCCACGGAGCTCCTGCTCTGCAGAACAAAGATCACACCTACTAGAGGTAACACTGGCCAGAGAACATACAGTGAGCAAGAAGGGGAAAAAAGAGCCTGTGAGCAGGAAGGAGCCTTGGTCTGGGGCTCCGGGCTCTTACCTGTCCAAACATCTGCCGCTGAACTCCTGGCTTTGAGATCCAGGGGGCAGGTAAATGTCCATCTCCTCCTGTCCTAGAGGATGAGGGGAGGAAGCTGGCAGATACACTGCTGTCCAGACATGCAGCGCTCGTACATGGCACACAGGATGCAGCACCTGCAACAACCATCACATTCAGAGAAACCACTAAAGAAAACCTCCTCAGCCAGCTCCCTTCCTGCCCTCTGTGCCCGGCTGTGCACGAGCCTGCAGAGCCAGAAGCTCTGCTTACCTGCTCGGAGCCCGGCATGTAGAGAAGATTGTGGAAGTTCTTATTGCCAGCGCGCAGGAGGGACCACACGGAGCAGGTTCTCTTGTAGATGTTGTGCATCTCGCGCTCGCACGGGCTGTTCCCCAGGAAGGTGCCGTAGAGGCAGGAGTACGTGTGCTGCACCAGCTTCACCTGCCGCACAAAGAGCGACGCCCGTCAGAGCTGCTGCAAAACAGGGTCCCCTGGCCCGAAGGGCAACATCTTCCACCCTCCCAGGACAGCTCCTGGGCTTCCCACCCAGCTGGGTACCTCAGTGCTGTCCTCTCCATCAAGAGGGCAGGACAAGGACAGGGATCACTTAGATCAGTTGACTGATGCCTTCACTTTAATAACATATCCATCCCTCTATAACCACAACCTATATTATCTGATAATCAGAGATTAGCTTTCACTCCACCATTTTTTCTTAATGCTTCAGACTCATATCACTCTGAGATGAAGAATCAGGCTTCTGAGCAAAACAATGCTCTGAACCTGGGGGAACCTGGGGAAAATGTGATAAAATCAAAACAAAACAAAAACCACCAAGCAAAGAAAACCAAAAAAATCTCAGAATATAAAAGTCTTCATCACTGGCCAGCCCAGTAGAGGTGCCTGTAATACCCCCTGGGAGAAAACAGAATGTACAAGCAGCTGAGGAGAGGCAGACAGGAGCACGGCATACTGAAGCAAGTCAGAGTATGAAAAAGGGCAGGGTTGGACCTACACAGTGACCTTGTTTCAGCCATGCCAGTAGGAAAGTCCAAGAAACACTTAAACACTTTCCCATTTTTTTACAGAATTTAAATTTTGCATCTTTCAATTGGAGCAGCATAAAATGTCACAGCCCTCTCGCCACCTCTGCTCATGTCTGCTGAGTAATTGGGATGTTTGCTTGCGTGTTTCTTACCAGGAAAGCTTCATTGAATTCAAAGAGGCAAGGGAATTGCTTCAGAAGTTGATGAACAGCATCCAGCCACTGCAGAAACACCGGGCACTGCTCATTCTGATCTTCCACCTTCTCTTGGTGACCACAGCGATCACCAAATTTGTGACCAAAATCCAGCCAGTCTGATTCAACAAGCACTTGGAAGCCCTGGGAATAAAAGGGAATGTTACCTGCAGGCAACTTCGCTGCAGGACAAGGCAAGCCCTATTTGTCAGTAGTGCAGGGCTGCAAAGGAGGCTACGTTAGCGCTTGGCCTGGGAGCAAAGCTACCTGAAAGTCAGAGATTTCCAAATACAAAATAGCAGCTGTTATCTCCATATCAAACAGGACATAAGTATATAAGTATATAAGTATCAAACAGGGCGTAAGTATAGGAAACAGTAGAGAAGCAGCTGAACCTTGAACACGAGAACATTTACTAAAGTACTAGAAGCTGAGCAAGGGTGTGAGTGTGAGATACAGCTCATGCAAAACAGACAGGAAGAGTACATGGGAAAACCCAACAGCCACAAGAGCAGCTCAAACTCCACTGAGCTGCTGCTCCGCTAAAGACAATTCTCCCCATGTTCTTCCTGCAGAGATTCAAAAGACCAAAGCTGCCTTTTCACAGACACAGAACAGCAGAGCAGCAGAACTGGTACCTCCATGGTCCTGTAGTAAGGGTCCAGCAGGATCTTTGCCAGGGCCACGATCTGCGGAGTCCTGTCCCAGCCATCCGAGCAATGGACCAGCACTGGACGCCCTTCTCTGTCGACCGCGTTGGCGACCAGGACTGCTGCCTTTAGCATGACAGAAAGGTGCTGCAGCCACTTGGTGCTCTCCAGAGCTGAAAGCCAGCTAGAGTGTGTGCAAAAAGAAAACAGTTGCTTAGCTTTCCAGTGGAAAACAAAATACATATTATCCAAAGACCTCTTGGAGTCCTCAGTGAAAACCATCTCTGAAAGAGAAATCGGCCAGTCTGGGACTAAGTACAAGGAACACAACAGTTAATTTCAGTTTTTCCCAGACAACCACTTGAAATCTTTTAAAAAATCTTCTGAAAAGACACTTAGTTAAGTCTCCCAGTGCTGCAATCCCTTCTGGATTACCAAGGATCAGAATGAGCAACATTCAAGCACTAGAAGCACTTTCCTATCCCTCCAATTTCTGACCCTAAACTCTTGGAGAGGATAAAGGAAGCAGCGAGGAGAAAAACAATAGTCCTCCAGGACATTTAGCAGATGCAGTATCCAATTCATTTAGAGAGAAAGGTCACTTACTTGCTAGGATCTGGCACCTGGCTGCAGACAGCACGCAGATACTGAAAGCTGTTCCGGATGGAATGGATGTTGGCCATGCCCATGAACACAACTTCACAGTTTGGGTAATACTCTGAATACACAGACAGGAGGGGAGGGAAAAAAAAAGAAAGAAAAAAAAAATCACCGAGTGCTGCTGCCACTGAAGCAAGTGTCTCCATACCCGTGGTTTGGTGTCCCCCCTCCCCAGCAGCGCTCCTAGTCTCCGGCAGCAGGGAGGCCCTTATCGTCCCAGCAATGTATCCGGGACGCTGACCTCTGCAGCGCTGAGGAGGGCTCACGGCCTGGATGCCAAAGCACAGCCCTGGCTCAAACTGTGCTCCAGGACCCGCCAGGAACAGCGTGTTGAGAGGAGGGTGCTCAGCCCCACGCACCTTCACACTCGCAGCCTCCTCCCTTTGCTCTGTTGGCGACGGCCGCCGTGTAGGACCTTGCGTCGAGGATGAGCAGCTTCTGAGGAGTGCCAGCATTCTCCACCCCCGAGCACGCCGTCAGCGACGAGTCTGCAGGGACAGCCCGGGCTGAGCTCGCGGCAGCCGCTGTGCCGCCACCGAGCGCTGGCCGAGCACGGGCTCCAAGGCCTATCCCCCGATCAGAGGGGACAACATGCCCAAGACCATCAGTGTAGAGATCAAGTTTAAACCCTCCCTTACAACCGCCCGACCTGCTGCTTTCAGCAAAGCAAACGCGGTGCTGCCCATAACCCGCTGCCGGGGCGCAGGGAGCTGCCCGAGCCCCGCTTTGGGAGCGCGCGAGGGAGCCGCTGTCTCACCGAAGTCGGCGTCGCAGGGCTCGCTGCCGTCGCTGCCCCCGCCGGGCTGCGCCGCGCCGCCCGCCTTGGCTCCGGGGTTCAAGGCACACGCTTTGGCAATGGATGTCACCAGGTACTCGTCGTCAGCGTTGCGCCAGCCCCACCAGCTGATCTCGGGCTGGCTGCAGCGAGCAATGACCGCCCCGTTGCGCATGTGTCTGCAAGGGAAGCGAGAGCCTCAGGACGCCCTCCGAAGAGGTGAGGAAGCATCTCGAGACTTTAATTCTCTCATTTATCTACATATATTGTGCCACCATCCTCGCTGCTTCATTTACTGCGTCCGCCCTCACAATCCCCCAGTGGAATAGCACGGGGCATTGCAAATAAACACGGCCTGTGACAGCAGCAGCCCAGAGCCCGGCACGCAAATCAGGGAGGTGAGGAGCAGCTAACGGGGCTGCAGAGCGAGGCCGCAGAGCAGCAGCTCACTGGGGCGTTTGCTGGGGCGTTTGCAGGAGCAGCCTGCGCCCGTGGGCAGCGGCACCTTGGGTGGACCCCAACTCAGACGGGTCCAACGGCCACGGCCAGGCCCCGACACCCACTACAAGGAACAGAGGGTCCCGCACAAGGGGGAGGCTGCCAGTTGTTTTAGTGCTAAGTAATTAGAGTGCAAGAGAATTTTAAATAATTACAGTTATACTTTGAGCAAATAATATTTATTGTAGTACTAGTCTGTGCTCTCATTATTATATTTTTTTTCTCCCTTCAAGCAAGTGCTGTTGTTAAGCCATCTGATTTATTGGTTGTAAATTAGGAAGATTATCTCACTATGCGCTAGATTGGCTTGTTTCTGGGCAGAGGCTTGAGCTGGGGTTTATGAATAGCCCCTAAAATGTGAACCCTACCCTATTTGTTAGCAATGAAGGCCTGGCAGAAGGGGTAAAGTAGGAATAAATGCTCATTTTTCACATCAACGTATGAGTGAAGTTACTTGCAAAGGGCCTGAGTGGACAATTAAGCAACAAAGTTTAATGGTGATAAAAAATTATCCAGGATAGTCTACACCTGATTGGAAAAGCCACCCAGGATCTCAACGTACTGGGTAATAAAAATAACACGTAAAATTTCACGCTGATAAATGGGATGTTTTTAAAGATGTGCAAAAAGAATCCCTAACTATAATATGAAGCAATTGGGTATAAAACAGCAGTCAAATCTCAGGACAAACACTCTGAAACCCCTGTCTTGTTCTCCAAAAACTTCAGCTCAATGCTCGAGAGAAGCAAAAAAGTTAAGAAATTGTTAAAAGTTATTGAAGAAGAAAAAAAGAACAGAAAATATGATGGCACCACATCTTATGCTTACATCTTCCAAGTTACACATATTTCTTATTAATCCTCCTCAAAAACAATGTAGTACTCAAATACAGCACTCAAATTCAGTACTCGGCGTAGTACTGGAAATGCTACAGCAAAGGGTGAAGGGGCAATCAGAGGTACAGAATAGTTTTGTTGTAGAAATAGCTCAAGCTGGCAATGACTCTGTCACAGCAGAGTGACAAGAATGGATGTGAAAGGCATAAAATGTCAAGGCAAGATGTATATATTGGTTCCAAGGTGCATTAAGTTCATGGAAGGTAGATCCATAAAATGACAGTGAAAATGGCATGCTCTCCTGAATCCCTCTTTTAGCAAATCTGCAGAACATCCGCATACTTGTCCCCCTTGCTAAGTGCCTTCCTTGAGCCTCTCCTGCTGCTCCCTGGCCCTTCTCAGACACACGATACCAAACGGGCAGCCCCAGCACCTCAGTTCTTCACAGCCCCAGTGCCTGCCTCTCCTTACCCCACAGTCCCACTGCAGCAGCCTAAGAACATAAAGATGCAGAGAGAGCATCTGGCCACCCCCTTCCAACCATTTGTCTTGTGGTTGAAACCTCAAAAGCTGCATCACTGGCCAAAAGGGGGACATATAGGGCTAAATCCTAAAGCATGCTAGCACGAGCGTCATTCCATCGCTCCAAGGTGAGCGTGTCACCAGTTGTGACAACAGCTGGCAGAAATAATTTTGCTAATAATTATACTTTCAGGGACAAAATCTCCTTATTCTGTTGAGGGAACTTATCAGCAAACCAAGGAAATTTATTATTGCTCTGAACAGGTAATGTTGATGAAGCCCCTGAACCAAAGACTTCCCAAGAAAGAACATCCATGTTCAGCTGAGTGGAAACATTGCTGTCCTTGTTCTTCTGGTGCTGCTCTGTGTTGCAAGGTGAACGGAGGAGCAGTGGCTCCCAGGAGATCCGTTCTGCGGAATGGTAACACACACAGCAGCCAGGGCTTTGTTTATCCTGCTAATGAAACGGAGCCAAGGGGCAGGCTCGGTGCTCCCAGGCTGCTGTGCTGGCACCCCCACAGCCCTGCCCGGTGCCAGCAGCACCGGGACAAGGCGGGCGCCGCGCTGGGAACTGCTCCCAACAGGCGCTCGGGATGCGATCCCTCTGCTCCGGGGTGCAGAGGAAAGAGCTCAGCTGTGGCAAGGGGACATGTGCGAGGCCATCTGAGCGTGGAGCCAGGGACAGCCTGCTAAATGCAGTGCTACTGACAGAGCCATGCTAAATTCAGAAAGTTTCATGGTTCCACAAGATAAACAGTGCAAAAAATACTGGTCTTGAGGTAGCCAGTTTCAAGAGACATAAGGGTGGTCTCACAAAACAAACACGGCCAGCACTGAGGAGCGTGAAGAGACCAGCAAGCAGAAAGGCTGACCAGTGTCTGTGGGCCAGGCAAGCCTGAGCAGTGAGGGCCTTCCCAAGGCAGGGCTGTACCCACACCACGGCTCTACATTCTCCTGCAAATTCCCCAGCACAGGCACAGGAAGCATTTCGGTTCGTTTCTTGCTTGGGACTTTTGCAGAGATTTTCCCCAGAGAGTAATGTCGTTGCCCTTGAAACAGAGAGCTGGAAGACGCTCTAGCATTTTAACTTACATGGACATAATTATTCCTTAGGGATTCTCAGTTTAGACATGAAGCCTTTTCAGGATTCAAAGTTGGAGTAGAAAGTGCCTCTACAGCTTATCAGTTAAGGTCCCCCCCAGACTCATGCAGAATACATGGGTAAAGCATATTTGGTCCGCCAGCACATGCCATCCGACCTATAACCATCATCCAAGCAGCAGCAACTAATTTCTTTTAAATCTTCCCTCTGTTATCTAGCCAAACGAGTGCTCCTGCACCCCGGAAAGCCAAGCAGCTTGGGTTAAAACACAAGAAAGAGCTGAGAGGGTTCACAAAGCTGCTGCCTCTCCGCCGTCACTTACACGCACCTCAGCTGGCAACCTTTACGCAAGTGTTTTCAGCTTCCAAGTCCCTGGATTAGAGTCCTGGCCCCTTCCTTCGTGCCCAGGAGGCCGAGAGGGAGCGCTCAGCTCTGCAGCTCCCTGCTGCCTCCGCGCCACCGCTGCGGCGCGACGGGGCAAGGCCGCTCAGGAACCGTCAGGCAGAGTCTCAAGGTCTTATGAAAGTGGCTGTGCAGACAGAGGAAACTGGCAGAGAGCATCCGTCTCCCTTTGCAGCCAGCTAAATAATTCATCGCATCCTTTGCGTTGTTTTAAAAATGGACTGTGTCTGAGGCTCCTGCTGTGCTCCTCCACTGCAGACAGACACATGGAGATCTGTATTTCTATAATGTTTAAAAAGCTAAATTATACTTTTTTTGTATGGAAACCGGTAACATGATACGTTCAGTATCATATGATTTACAGATCTGACTGTGAACCACTGAATTCAGCCCTGTTCTCAAAAAAAAAACCCAAACACATCCAACAAAAAACCCTCTCTCAACTTTACTAGATAGTCTTGTAGTTCCCGAGTCACTGAGCACTTAGTGCTCTTAGGATACATTCATGCAAGCCCACTTGTTCCCAGAGCTGAGTGCTAGGCTGTTGTCTCCTTGTTACAGAAGGAGAACACTCCAGAAACAGGCATGACCCTTGTGGACTCTGCTGGCCAAGAAGACTTCAATCTTGAGGGCAAAGGCTAGTAGAGAATGCGTGGGAATGAGATACAAAGTGGGCAAGCACCCTTGGTTGCCCCATCTTATAATGTAACTTGTCAGCATCTTCTAATCTGATCCCTGGCTGCAGAGGGTTACAGCTCAGCCTGTGAATTACTGGGTACCATTGCAGTGATGTTATAAAACTCTGAACAGAATTGTTCTAGCCTTCCATTTCTTTCAGACACATCACTCTCCTACAAATTGTTTAATAAGACATCACCTCCCCAAACCTTGCTTTATTTTCTGCATAGCCTCTTGCATTTTAAAGCACGTATATATTATTTCTGGAAGGCTCCTCTGCTCAGGGAATAGGTACTGTTCATATTTACCTGCTAGAAAAGAATCAGCTTCCAGCCGTGTGCAAACATTGCAACCTACCCGCTAACTAAACATTCTCAAACTCTCAGAACTCAACTAAAGCAAAAATGATTTCCGGCTGGGTATTAAAAGGTATATCGAGGCCTTACTAACTGGTAGATAGAGGAGCCACAGAGCAGGCCCATTTTGGCTGGGATTTCTTTTAGAACTAGCAGTTAGGCAAATACCAATCCCAGAAAAAGTTTAGAAACTCCCAGAAGGACAAGCCTAATTCCAGGTTGCTTTCTTGTTCCAACTCCCATAGGAGGCGAGTCACCCACATCTTTATATCCAGCTGAAAGTAGGAAAGAAGCAATAGTTCCTGGAACATCTTTTCTCCCTTCTGAAGAACATCCTGCGTTTTATCATCAGAGATCGAGTTCCTAGCAAGGCTCACGTGCGGTGGGAGGAAAAAGGGTCCTGGGAGCAGGCACTGCTGCACAGCCCCGGCACCCACCCGGCTTCCCAACACTGAGCAAGAGAGCCTGAAGGGAAAGGACAGCCCCGGGGGGTGGCGTTGAGGCGATGAGCGGTGCTTTGCTTTTGTTTTTACCTGTACACCACAACAGGGATCCTCTTCCAAGATCTGAACGACGCCACGTTCTCCAGCTCCTTGTCAGTAATCCAGACAGGAACCAGCAGCTTCTGGGGATAACTGGAACAAAGCCTAGAAAAGAAGGCAACACGGCAAGGTGACAACACAGCAACCAGAATCTATGCTGGATAGACCATGCAGAGACGGAAAGCAGGAGCTGCTCAGATTTCTCCTAAAGTCAGACAAACTGACAAGGGGCATCTAAGAGCAGTGTCCGCTCCAGACTGCGCCCCACGCTGCTTGTGTCAGGGCAGAAGGGAAGCGGGTCAAACCAAGAGGCAAATTCCAGATGGTGACGGGTGTTCCCTTGAGTCCAGGTCATCCCTCCAGCGCAGCCGATGGCGGGAGCAGGGCACAGCACACAGGGATGCTGCATTTGGGATCCTAGTGAGGACTCGCCTGACGTGTGAGAAGATGGGAGCCTTCACATGGTGCCTAGACAGCTTCTTGGAAGCTCCCAGGAAGGAGGCTACCACGGAGAAGGGGAATTTAGGAAGCAAAATTTAAGCTAACAGCTGAGAAGCTGCAGACCAGTATATCTGTGATGCATCCGCTGAAATGCTTTTTGTTCCACATGTAAAACTGGACAGGGAATCAGAGAAGCCCAATTTCAATGTGTGCCTGAGAGTAATGGTACCTGACAGGAGGCCAGCCTCTACTAAGGTATGGAGGAAAATTTGGAAGATCTAAAGTCTATACACTGGACTTCATCTAGATCTAAACAGAAAATTAAACATTACAGGAGCTGTCTGAAACTAAAAACTGACTTGATATAGCACTTCTTCTAAAAGTTAAGTAGCTAAAACTCTGCATCTTAGGAAAGTGATAAAACAGATGGTAATAATATTCAGAAAAGAAGTAAAAGGAAAGTTTCAAGAAGTTAACCCAAATTTAAGGAGGGTGCATAAAAACAGGCAATGAGATCAAGACAAATGCATGTGCACTTCTAAGACTAGATTTCAAAAAAATAGAGAAACTGAAGAGCCAGGGTAAAGGAGCTGCTGACTTATCCAAATCTTATAAAACTGATATAAGGAAAATAACCTGAGTTTTGGGGGATAAGTTTGATAGTCTGAGACAGGGAATATGTAGTGAATAACACTTAAGAAGTGTGAAAGGAAAGTGTGAGGCCACATCAAATTACCAAACAACTAACAATGTGCACAAGGACTGGAACCCCTGATGCTAAAGGGAATCAGAAAAGCACCAGGGCTTTTCTACCAGTGGTCAGAGCATGCTGGAAACGTCTGCGAGAGGCTGAGGGAGATTCAGAAGGGCTGGAAGGGCAGAAACTGCAAGGAAAACTTGTGCAGCGCCCACGTAAAATGCGGACGTGCCACGACGTGATGCCAAGGCTACATGTTTAGATGCCATCACCTGCTTCTTGGTGCCCTCAACTGAACAATATGGAGGACACATAACTCCTTAGTCATGAACATGCACATAGCTACTCCAGGCTAGAAAAACTGGAGGAAAAAAAGATCATTTTGTAACCATGACCATCGCACAATGGTAAAATTCAACAATATTTTTAGAGCGGAAATTCCCCCATCACTGTAATGTATCAGCTTCAGAAAGGGGAACTACATAAAAAAAAAAGCTTTTCTTGAAATGAGAGGAAAAAGCAAGAACAGGAAAAGCTCGCAGGTAACATTGCTGGTTGTTTAAACATACTCTTCTGGGCATCGGAGAGCTCAAAAAATCAAAGAAACAAGCAAAAGAAAGCAGGAGGAGCTGGCAGACTGAACCAGTCAGCAAAGGACAGGCTAGAAGGGCATCCTGCAAAGAGGGGAAGTGTTTCTAAATGACACAAACCCAAAGAGCCAAATGTAAAGCTAAATTAAAACTAGTAAAGGGACAACAAGAGATGTCATGCAGGTTTTGAGGCTCTGAAGGTCTCATGGATGTGCAAGATCATAACAGAAAAGCAAAGATATTTGGCCTGGTGTTCACCAGAGAAGTGCATAAAGGTGTTCCCATATCTACTCCCCTTTTACAAGGGACAAACTGGAGGAAAAGAGTAACATGGAAACATCAGCAGCAAGCATTTTAGCATTCATTGCTAGAAATGAAGAGGGACTTGTCACCAGGACTAGACAATATTCACTCAACTGTTCCACAGCCACCCAAGTATGCAGCAGGTCAATGATTAAGTGAGATGTGTAAGCTATTGCTTACATTGGCTGGAGCACCAGGGGAGTGAAGGTGGCAAACACGCTATCCAGGTTTTAAAAGGTCTCTGGGGAGAACGTGGGAAAGCACCCGGCTCCGACCTCCCTACAAAGGCAGCGGCTGCTGCGTCCGGACGAGAGTAAATACGGACGCTCGGGAAGAGTCAACACAACTTCTGTGGGGGAAGCCATGCAACAAGGAGCACCTAGAGCTGCCTGTACTCACCACGGAACAAGCGGGTACAACCGATGCGGCTGACGGGCTTTGGCTTCACGGTTGGACACGGTTCATGGACGGGCAGCAGGACTGCAGTGGCCCTCGCACTACACTGACCCAAGCCACCAAATGACAAGGTTTTTAAACTGTAATATTTGATTGCAGAAAAAGTTGTTTTATGCAGTAAAGCAACTGCGTAAGTCAACACAAGTCAATGCCTACAGAACAGGGCTGGCAAAGCCTCTCCTTACATGGAAAGCAGCAGCCATATCAATGAAAGACGAATATTCACGATAACTGCCAGTTTTATCACTGCAGGTCCTAATAATCCTTGAAGACTTATTGTCTAAACATTCGTAGGGCAAATACAAGCAAGAATGCTAAGTACCTCTCTTCTCATGCGAGCAAAATATTAAAATTTGTAGGAAAAAAAAACAAAATAAGAGAAAAAATGAATTAGGAGTGGTCACAGAAACAAGAAGACACATTCAGCTCTCTCCAACTCAGAGCAACTACTTCCAGATGAAATAACCAACAATAAAGTTGCAACTGTAAATAAAGACCAAGGAAACAAAGACCGATACCATCACTGAAAGATGACTAGTTTTTTTTTTGTTTGTTTTGTTTTGTTTTTTTAAGAGAACTACGTGTGCACAAATCCCACCAGCTTTGCAGCCAATAAGCAAGTTTCCAGCTGAGACAACACAGGCTCATTAGATGAGGTCTTTCAGAACATGCAGTCTTCTAGGTATACAAACCACTGAAGATGCAAGAGCCACGGTGAGATTATGTAATAATTTTATTATTATGGTATGCTGAAATAGTTTACTTTTATCATGACCGAAGGAGTGGTGATTACATGCCTATATTGCTCTGGTTTTATGATGGCTGTCGCCAGGAGGAAGATAATAGTTCCCAGATAAGACCATCTCGGAACAGACTTGAAAGAAAATGAACAAAGCCATTACCTTGGAGTATCCTGTCTCTAGCCACACTATTTTGCCAACGCTGGGAAATGAAAGATAAAAAGAACTATAAACAGTTAAAAAGTAACCTGATTCCTGTGAATAGAGGCAGGTGGTAATGATCAAAAGCCAAAGCATGATTTAAAGCCACCCTCCCCGGAGCAGCAAGAGAGAACTGGTTTCTGAGTTGCACAAGCAAATTACACCACCTTGAAGATCTTGGGACGTCTGCAGGAAGCCGGGACCTGCCAGGTTCCCCAGACAGGAACTCAGCAGACGCTAGGAAAGTAAAAGCAGGTCTGCAGGTCTCCTTTCACAGTCTTCTTCAAAAAGCAAACATCTGTCTTTAGAGAAGATTGCTCTAGCGCTGGCCATAACTGCTAGGAAGTGAAACACAGATAGTTAATCTAAGCTGGACTTTCTCAACAGAGGGAAGCACATCCCAAAATCTAGACTAGAAGCTGGGGAAAAGCCCAACTGCCTTCAAAGACACGCAGTGACTCTGGCTAGGCCAGGGACAGGCTTCCCACTCCAAAACTGAACAGTTCAGAAAACCAATTTTTATTTGATGCTCTTGGATAAACTACATAAATGCCATCCAAGCAATGCAAAAGTCCAAAAGCAGTGATGTGGTCCGTATGTCCAAGCGGAAATTGTAAATCAAACCCTAAATATGGTGCGTGATGCTTGGATTTCTTAGGAAGCAAGTGAGAGAACATAACAGACAAAGAATGGCGAAATTCCACTGGGATTTCCCCAAACCGGTGTTTCTGGGGCTTCTCAGAGACTGGCCTCCAAAAACGATGACCTGAATCCATCTAGTATACACAGGACAAGGAGGCCTCTACTAACGGAAGCAGAGAAAAGGCTGAGGGATACGAGTCATGTTAAGAAAAGGGATACAGAATATTCAGAAATGCACGTCAGTCAAAGCTTAATAAAATCCTGCTGCTGTTGGCTTAATGCCACCTACTGCAAAGCATGTGGAAGCAGGAGCTTCTTCCTGAGCTCCTCCGAGTGCTGGTGGGAAGGACCTTCGAGGGATCTCCACTCCAAACTCGTGCTCACAGTGGGACCATCAGTCCTGTGCCACGTGCTCTAGGTGACCCTGCATGTGCAGGACGGGTTGGACTAGATGACCTCTAGAGGTCCCTTCCAACCTTAACCATTCTGTGATTCTATGATCCCCAACGTTGAATCGGGTGGCCATGGCTTTGTCTACCTGACACTTGTCTACCTGAAACCCTCCAGTGAAGGACATTCCTCACCTCTCTGGGGGTCCCCTTCTCCTGAGGAAGTATTTTCTTCCCCAAGGCCCAGTCTTTGCCCCCTAAGCTCCAACTTGTGGCCACTACCCTTATGTGTATTACTGGCCGCTCCCAGAGAGTTAGGCTCCATCACCTTCGTAGCTGCCTTTCAAGCAGTTGTAGGCTGCAAGCAGATCACCATTTGGCTGCCTCTTCACCAGATTAAACAAGACCAGGTCATTCCAGGTCTCATTACTGGCTGTGCTCCCTACATTTCTCCAGTTTCTCAGCATCCCTCCGTAACTGGGCTGAATGGCTGCCCTCCTTTATGGAAACTTGGTATTTTTTCCCCCTTTCAAACAGTGTGAGAACTTCAGAGAAAATGACAGACTAGAAAAGCAACCCTGTGATGGAGGAATTCTTCAGGCTCCAAAAAGTCTTCAAGGAAGACCCATACCCACAGATGCAACCCTGTGATGGAGGAATTCTTCAGTCTCCAAAAAGTCTTCAAGGAAGACTCACAGACTGCAAGCTGCACAACTCAGCATTTACAGCAACTGATGCCAGCCCTGATGTTTGGGCTGTATTTCTTCTCCAGTATCCTGATTTGAAGGAAGGAAGGAGGACCCAAACTCATACTCTGGTCGAGCTGAGAGTTACCAGGGCCAGGAAGGGGTACGAGCTATTTAGGATTGTGACAGGGAAGAAGAAAAGGAGACTGGGAAGAGCCTGACAGCAGACTACTCACTTGTAATTGTTGTTGATGTCGGAGACTCGCCAGACGTTCTGCAGGTCGAAGCCCATCCTCACCAGCTCCATCTCAAACCGGTACTTCACGTGGTCACCTGGAAGAGCAGAGTAGCATATACTAAGCTAAGCAGAACTGAGGGAATTTAAGCTTATTATTTTCAGCTTTATAATAACTATCAGAGGTTTGAACAAAAACCATAGGCTGTCTGGATGGCAGGGATATTGTTTAGGATGCCAGAGAGACTCGCCCTTCACAGGGGTTCCTCTGCTTATCTGGCAGCAACAAATCTCAGTCTCAGAGCATGAAGTGCATAGAAACAGTTGTCCTATGTTATATCTTAATATAAATACTGAAAAGCTCTTGGCTTCATTCGTACACTGTGGCACCAGTTTCCACAGGTGAATTTATTTAGGCTAGAGAATATCTTCTCTGAAGGACCAGACACCAAATATCTCCTACTTTCTTGTGTCTGAGAGAGGGAAAGATGATGTACTTTACTCTCCCTCTACCAGCAACTTTTGAGTACTTCTCTGCTGCCATTCTATCCATTCCCCCATCCTTCATATAAACTGTGTATGGACATTTCATATGTTCTTTCTGCTCTTATACCAGCACATTTTAAAGTCCAAAATTAGGTTTATCATTCTTTTTTTAATCTTCTCTCATTCACGCTGAAACAGTTCAAAAGACCAACTAACTGAAAGGGATCTTTGTGTTCAAGAGAGGACAAGCTGTTGATCCACAGGAGGGCACCATTACAATATTGGGATTATTTCTACATGTTCCAGTGTTTTACTTTGGTCTGTGTATGAATGAACCTGATCACAGGGATGTCATGGTATTTCTAGGTGTAGAAGAAGTACAGACAGAATCATGTCTACTAGGAAGCCTCAAAGCTGATTACATTTACTATTCAGGGACAAGATTACTTGCTGTCTGTCATCACGGTGAAAGCATGAGGTGTTCTCTTCATTCACAAGGAGAGAGGAACATGAGAAATATCTGTTGCTGCCTTAAGGGCTCCTCATTGTGATTAGTGTTATTCTTTTTACTGTGCTTATTATCCAACTGCATCCAGACATCAGTTGGATATCTAGGTAATCTGGGCCCACGTACAGGATGCCATTGAGCAAGATGGACTTGGGCTATGGCCACAGCAGTAGCTTAGGTCCATGGTCCACGTTATATACCCTGCTCTTCTGAGCAGAGCAGCGTGGGGACAGGCCACTCACTGACCCGGACGGCAGAGATGTGCGTGTTGATCCTCCTCATCAACGCAGACTCCCAGGCACCATGCGTGGTAGGCAAACGCAAAGAGGTCCTCAGGCTTTGCAGGGCGAGCAATGGCTCGAGTCAGCCTCTTCAGCCACTCCTGGCACTGCTTAAAGGTGGAGAAATGGCACCTGCAAACACATATTTGTACCATAGTCAGTGGTTACATATATCCAGCCAACCTACACAGACAAGGAGATCTATTCCACGCAACAGGAAAAAGGAGTAAAACATCAAGCCTTAGAAGAAAATACAAAACACCATAGAGAAACCTTGGCCACAAACAGTTTTTTGAGGGCTTTGATTCCAGTGGCAATGCAGAGGGGGATAAAGTCGATCATGGACCCAGGCTTGGGGTGGTCTTCACATTATAGCAATAGAGCAGATACCTGATTACTTTGGAGTCCTTGCAGACAATGTGAAGCTGGAACATATCCCGGCACTCCACACTTTCCATCATCCTCAAAGGCACCTGCAACAGAGAGATATAGGGTATGACAAGACGTCCCACGTTAACATCCGTGTCTGCTTTGCTCTTAGCTCCATCAAGTGCAGCCACAGCTCTATGAGTAATCATCAGCATCAGGTCATGCTACAAATGCACTCCCAAGTCTATGAAGCTTCATGATCCTGTCTCCTCCAAGTACAGCTCTGACTCCTGTTCCATCCCTGGGCAGTCTCCCACCTTGGCCCAGCTGCTGACGAGGCCTCCCAAGCAGGGTAGCCCCAGGGCCAAACAAAGGTTGCAATAAAAGACAGCAGGCTGAGAGGTAGCGAGAGAAAACCTCAGCTTCTCACTGGCTGACACTTAAAAGGCCTCAGTACAAGACAAGTCCCATGTAGGCTGGCCTCCAAGACACCTCAACAGTCTTAAAATCCCCAAGTTTTGTGTTTGGATGAACAAACAGCACAGGAAAGACCTGATTATCATCCACAAAAGAACGTGTCCCCACAACAGGACCATCCTCACCTCACATGGCAGCTGCACAACCAGCAGCAACAAGAGAGAACATCAGGCCAGGCATCTTTCAAGAGGCAGAGCTCCTGAGCCTCGGGTGATGGAAGCAGGTTATACTCCAGTGAAATACCACAAGAGCTAATAGTTCAAGCAGTGGAAACAGGCAGAGCGAGACTTACATTGATCACAGAATCCTTAAATTTGATGTGAAGCCTGTAGTTGGAGATGGCGATCACAGCATCGTTTGCATGGCCAAGATACTCCACTCCCTCACCCTGCAACACAGTGAAAGGGACCTGGAAGAGAGACATCACTAGTTGAAGAGATACGCAGAGCATTTTGTGCACTGTAAATGCCAAGAGCCACTCTTCCTACTGCCTCTGGAATGCATCTCCTGCGGGAGAGCAGTCACAGCACCACGCTTTGCGTGCACTGCTGAGAGCAGACAGCAGCACCACAGCAGACGGGTCCCCCCTCCCCAGCCCCACACCATGAATCGTCTCCGCGGACACCTCAGGAAATGCTGAACAGCTACTGAGAGCCAGAAAATCTGCAGAGCACCACGAACGCTGCATGTGTCGAGCAAGGGCGTTGGCAGGGAGGGCATCGCACGGAGGGACAGGCTGTTTTGGTCCCTCGCAGACAGAGCAAACACAACTCGGCCACAAGCAGCATGGCCAAGGAAACCAACCCGGACACTGGCCAGGCCCGGGAGGAGCCCCTCTGCGGAGGTGCTGTGCACAGCAGCTCCAGACAGCGCCTGATGAAATCAGAATAACTTGCCCACGGCAGAGTTGCACACACGATCCTGCCGTGACATTTAAAATAACGAGACTGTGAGCAGCATCATGAGACTCACGGGTACCAGCAAACGAATCCAAGCTGGGACCAGTGTCTGCTAAAAGAGCTGTGATGGTATCTCTATACGTAGTTGTTTGTAGGACCGTGATGGAGTTATTTGCTTAGCAAAAATAATAGAAAAAGAATCCAGATAACAGATACACTAACAGTCTGTCTGTCTCTCCCTATCAGCCAGGACATGTTCAGCTATTTTTAAAACAGGAGATGTTGGTAGACAGCCAAGTTTTCTTCCTTTTTTTTCTTTTTTTTTTTCTTCCTCTTCCCCTATCTGGTATTAAGAAGGAAGCAGATCAGCCTAAAATCCATGCAGCTTCTTTTCCTTTGTACCCTTCTTTTGTGCCTCCTTTTCCTTAGCTAAGTAAACTCTTCAGCGTTCCCTGGATGCCACCTACACTAGGTGATTTTGGTGACCAATTAGCAAAAAGGTCACCAAGATTTATCATTTCAGCCAAAGCTCTTTACTTGCCAGACAGGGCAGTTGATGAAACAATTCATTATACTGTAATTAGAACAAGTCTGACCATGTTGTCATTTCTAAACTATTTCTAGGGCTTTGGCTATACGCTTCCTAAAAATGAATTTCCTGGATTCCAGACTTCATGTGGCAATCCTGCTGACAACCTCTCCCTCCCTAAGTCATTTGGAGATGTTAACAACCCTAAAGTGGCACCTGTCTGAAAACTGTTTAGAAATTTTAATTATCTGACATGAAAACAGTTTTCTCTTCATCTCTGCAGTTTACTTTGTGTGCTTGCCAACACTGTTCTTAGCTGGCATGTTTCTTGTGCTTGTGCGACTCTGTCACACAGAAGCAGAAGGGAGAGAGATTCTTTAAAAAAATGGGAGAGAAAAATTGTAAGATCTGACAAAGGGAAATCCTGGAATAAACTTGCAAATATCCAAGTACAGTTTGCTATCAAGTGGATGGTATCTTTTTAGATTTCACGTCATGCCAGAGTAACAATTTACTGAATGCAAATTACTGTTGGGGAAGGGTGAACTTGGAGGTCCACCACGCAGGAGACTGAAGCAGGTCATGCTTTGCCAGGTGCTCTCAGCTCAGAATCATCTTGGAGAATTTGCCTTCCAAAGACTACAGACCCGCAGCCTTGACGCTTCCCTGCCCCTCCTCAGTGTGCGGCACTTGGCACGTTGCCTGCACAGCCAGTCCTCCAGTTGCCACATTTTAGTCCTTGTTTTTATCAGCACCATTTAGCAAGACACTGCGAACCACAGAGCACACTCAAATACTGCAGTGGCAATAAGAACATAAGAGCTTGGCAAGGGCCACAGGAGGAGGACGTGCACTGGGACAAGGTGGCAGTGGGCAATGTTAAAGGAAGTAAAAAACACTGGGAGGTTTTGGCTCCCTCAGTCCAGACTATTATTGTTGCTGCACAGCAGCAACTGTACCTGGGTCCTTTTCAAGGGCCTTTTGCAGCAGGAGGTTGGCACCGCGAGGAGGTTTCTCTTTCCAACAGCTCTGCAGCAGGGATGTGCTAGGAGCAATGTACATTAGGGCTGGAGGAGCTGTTGCAATGTGGGATGCTCCTGCCATGCAGAGTGCAGTCGAGCTCTGATGTCCTCCCTGTCCCAGAGCGGGTCTATCCGCTGCCGAGCCAGGCAGCCTCACAGGGCCTCGGCGCCGGCAGAGGACAGGGAACACCCGGGGCAGCTCCGTGTTGCATCATCCTTGAGCCACGTTTCCAAGCAGCAGATGCAGCACTGCACAAATCACAGCACCTCGCAGGGCCGGGAAGGAGACCAGCCCAGGCCACAGCATGAGCTGCCTTCATGCACGCAGCACTGATGAACCTACGGCCTGCAAAGCACGGCTGCAAGCGCTCTCGGGTTTCACACTGCCATAAAAATCAAGCCCGCTGCATCCCAAAGAGGGATGTTTCTGTTTTCTTCCCTCCTTACCTGCAGTGACTCTTCCTCCTTTACGAGCTCCTTTGGGGGGAACAAGTCCTTGGCCTGGATATACTCCAAACTAGGAGGGCCTTCTTCACCCTGCATGGCAAACAAAACAAACACTGAGCGCGGTCCCAGCCTCCACGTCAGCGCAGGCGATAAGAGAGCGAAATCCAGGCAGCTGGATCCTGCCGGCACCCTCGCGCCCTCCCTGCAGGATCCGACACAAGGATAAATCTTCAGCAGCTGAGTCAAGGCCCTTCCAGCAGCGAAGCAGATACACCTCGATGATGCACAAGAGGTCAGCACATCTGACTGCTCGGATGGTATTTTGTCCAGTCACAGCAAGGGCTACCCTCCGTTACCTTTATTATGGAACCACAGCAGAAACTCCACAGGATGGAGGGTTTCCAGCTACCTTTTGTCTTTTACTTACTCTTTTCCTCTGTTACTTTTACAAGTAACTCCCCTCTGGGAGGTTTTTATTTTCACTCTTAACCCAAAGAAATTGGAAGAGCTTGAGACTTTTGGAAGAGATTAGGAAATGTGAAATGTAAATCCCCCAGCTATTGCAGACAAGTACGTCCAACTTGCAGCACGCGCCACTGGTTGTTGACAACACCAAAACAGGGCATTTTTCCCCAGGGCACTGAAAATGTCTAACCCTCAATGAGATGGAAACTCTGGAAATTCCACAAAGGCCTTAGAGTTGGTCTCTGAGGGGTTGGATGCAAGCACTGCAGAAGAACGTCAGCAAATGAACCGCTAAGGGAGCACAGGTATAGCAATTTCCTTTATGAGCCTAATACTAGTCTGAAAGAAGTAACATGACTTGGGCTTCCTCCACATTTGGCAGCCAATCTTCTCCTTAAGAGTGGAGGCCTCCTTATTTTCAGAAGCAAGGACCCATGATCCCTGGAAAAGTGGACAAGAGCATCTCAATTTGGGCTTGTGAATCTCGAGTCCCTTCCAAAATCCCAGTCCCAATTCTTAGCTGACCCTGACCCTTACTCTGCCTGCCTACCAACTCACTCCACAGGCAAGCAGGTATCCAGACACTTCATACAGAGGATGATCACTGCTGAGGGTCAAAAATGGTACTGATTTCACATGCTGAAGTTATGTCAGCGTAGGGACATCTTTAGAACGCCTCTTAAAAGCTAGTTAGTTCCTTCTACAAACTCCCAAGTTTTTTCTAATTACAAATCCACTAGGAATTCTAGCATTTATTAGCATTGCCCAGTTCTGCAAGCATTAAACAACAAAAAACTAAAACAAAATACCTTTCCGGCTAAGTCATCTAGGCTAGAATCCCAAATTTTGATCCAAGGACCCTAGACTTCTGATTCAGCTGCATTTAAAGTGATGCCAAATTACCTCATGTTTTCATTGGAGATTAAAAAGGAACCAATACCAGCATTCCCTTGCAGATCATATTCAGCGCTGAGTGCGAGACTCGGAAGCATCCTTGTCCATCCCCGCTGTGAGGGGTCACGGCGCTTCCTCAGCAGCTCACCAGGCACCCAGCATAGCTCGGGGATGCACCTGCTCCCCTGGCCACCGCGTCTCCGCGCCGAAAGCTCCCCGGAGCCGGGGGGCAGCCGGGGGTCCTGCATGCGCCGGCTGGCTCAGGTAGCGAGCAGGGAGCGCAGGGGAGCACAAAGGAAAGGCAGCGCTGCGAGCAGCGCAGGCAGGGCCCGCAGCCGCCACACAGACCCTCTTCTCCAGTCGCCCCTTGGCGGCTCACAAAGAAATCCCCGTGAGCAGCAGCAGCTGGAGCAGAGCAGCCCGGGGTCCCTCCGCAAGCCCGGGGGTCCTTTGGGCCTTGCTGGCATGTGGCACGGCCGGGAGCCCGGTGGCTCGACCTGCCCTCACCCCTCCCGGAGCACCAACGCGGTGCGGAGCTCAGGGCCGCTCTGCTCTCACGAGCCGCCGTCCCTCAGGGCCAGCCCTCTGACCCCCACAGCTCCTGGGGAGCTCTCTGGAGAAAGGGGTCTCAGACCTCCCTTTCCAGCAGGTATCAAAGACAGGCTGCTCAGGACCCTCTCCTAGTGGCAAGCCCTGCTGGCAGCTCGTACGGGAGAGCCTGGCACGCTCCTGCTGGGAAGGAAGGGTAAGCGAGGGCAAGAGCACCGAGGTCCCCCGGGGTGATTTTCCAGCTGCAGGCAGGGAGCAGCGGGGGCCAACTGGGCTCCCTCGGCCAGGCCTTCGGCCGGCTCCAGCCGCGGGCCGGGCGCTGCTGTGCCCTTGGGCCCGGCAGGGAGCGGCGACGGGCAGCAGAGCGCGCGCGGGAGCCAGGGAATTCCCTGCTCACAAAGGGGAGGCCAGCGCGACCCAGCAGCACCTCAAGCCGAGAGGATGCAGAGCAGGGAGGATGCGCAGCCAGCCTGGCCTCAAGGACAGGCCAGGTCTGGGGCCCCTGGCGAGAAAAGCTGGCTGATAGCCCTGCTTGCGGACACGGAGCTGCGGGGAAGGGAGGAGGAAGGAAACGCGAGGCACTTACAAAGCAGTTGAGCATGGAGCAGGAGACGCGGCCTGGCAGACTCATGTTCATTTCCAGAGGTGGCAGCGGGGCCGGGCGCACAAAAGCCGCATCTCCTGCACGCGGCCCCGGGCTGCTGCGCGGGGCTGCTGCTGACAATGGAGGGAGGGCGGGCGGAGGACGGGCAGACTCCACCTCCCTCGCGGGGAAGCTGAGCTGGGCTCTGCCATCTAAGCGTCTCCCTGCCAGGCTAGGCAGAAAATGGAGAAACCACCCGGCAGGGGTGGCCTGAAGGGACCCCGCTCTGCTGCCGCTGCCTCAGCCCGGGGGATGCAGCGCGCGGGCGGCGCCCTCCTGTCAGCACCCACTGGGCGTCGCTCCGAGGGCCCCGCGACAGCAGGGGCCGAGCAGCTCCACAGCCTGGCAGCACCAGGCCCTCCACCCTGCAAATGCCCTGCGGCAAATTAGGGTCCTCCTGGCAGCACAGCTGCTTCCCAAAGTCCTCTCCGCACGGCCAGGAAAGGAAGGACAAAGGGGTCCCGCTTCCACCACCTGCAGTCCTTCCTAAAACATTCCTGAGCCTGTTATTCCTCCCTGGAGGAATTGCTCCTGCAATTGGGATTAGCTGGAGGCTTTCAGCTCCTGCCAGCACCCAAACACGGGTGCTCGTGCCCCACTGCAGACGAGGTTTCACGGGGCCACCAGCAGTTCATTCCCATCCCTCGGGCAGTTAGCTCCACGGGGAAGCTGCACTGACTCCAACCTAGCCACGTTTGCAGACCATGAGGCAGGGCTTTTGGTGCAGGAAATGTGGTGGGGTTGAACACCCTGGCCCCAAGGGCTAACTTGGTGTTAGCCAAAACCATGAGCAGAGAGCAAGTTCTCCAGGCTGCAGCTGAGCCCGTCGCAGGAGCCACACTGCGAGCAGCCCCCTGGGACATCTCCATGTCCAGCAGCACCCGTGGTTCTGCCCTCCACCTCCCGCCGCGGCCAGGGCGCTGGGATCATCCGGGCTCCGCAACGCCTGCCTCGGTTCAGGCGTCGGCAGCTCCTGACAGACAGAAGCGACACTGAAGAGGATCCTTGCTCAAAGCACTTTTCCTGGTGGCCATACTGAAAGCCAAAGGGTAAGAATTAGACCCCTGGGGCGTCTTATAAAGCTTGGGGACCAATCAGTGCACATAAGACTGAAATAAGGCCGTAAAGTGATTTTTTTTTTTCAAAAAGCAAGTCTAGCACTTCATTAATCCTCCAAAGGTCAGGCTGAATCATCCCAGCTCTTCTGCTCTGGCACAAGGGCCCTGCACTGAAGCAGAACGAAGCCTGCAGCTGCTGCACTCCTGGTATACCTCCTTGCCCCACAGTCACCAACAGACAACCCCAACTAGCAGTACAAGACCATGCCAACCATTTTTCTAAAATCAGATAAAAGATTTGGGCATTTCTCCACAAAAAGTGGAAGGGTTAAATTTTTTTGAGCATCCTTGCTCAAAAGACAGTTTTGCAATGCCTGAGTCTGCCGCCTTTTACCACTGCAGGGCACCAATGCCCAGCGAAAGCTGCTTAGAAACCAGGAGTGCAGAGTACCCAAAGCCCATATGGCTGGGCAGGCTACACTGCTCAGATGCTGAAGGAGAAAGGTCCTAAAAGGAAGTGCTGCTGTGTGTGCTAAGATGCTCCCCTCGGCTCCACTCTTTACATGGTGGCCTGTACTTGGGCACACGCTTCCCAACCACAGAGGTGCCCAACTCCAGCTAGTACCCACAGGCTCTTCTGTAACATCTCTGCTGCTCCCTACAGAGGAGACACATCCGACCCTGCACATATTTGCTTTACGTATAAAGTCAACACATAATGAGAACAGAGGCTTACGGCCAAGGTTCATGATTTCTAACATGTTATATCTTGGTCAAGATATAACACTGGCTCCAGAGCACCAGAAGTGCCTTGCTTGCCACAGGTCCTCCTTGTAGGCAAATACCAGTAGGGCTGCTGAGGGACCTTCACAGCTCGGAGATGTAGCTGGGCACAGCTAAAAGGTTGATCACCAGGTCATTAGTTTGAATTTCTAAGCTAAGCTGGCTTCCCAGACAGTGAAACCATGCACAGCAGGGTCTGTGTGCTTAGAAATAGGAAATGTGGAGCGCTCACAGCCTTATTCTAGCTGCCTTTGCTAGAGGGACTCCTAAAAGTCAAGTCAGATGTCTCCACAGCTGAGCTGGTATCTGCCCTACCTGCAGCGTCACTAACAGCCACAAGGCTGGACAAGGAAGACCAGGTTTACACGTAACTGGGCTCCTCCAAGCATTATCCGTGTGCCCGTTCATGCTGTGGCTGCTATCGCGGCCCCAGCAGGACAAGCAAAAGCCCCTTTAGCCCTGCTGTCTCCCTCCTGACAGCAGCACAGGACAGGAACCTCCTCAGTTTCCCTCAGCCACAACCCTAAAGGTTTCACGAACTAAGAGGAAGAGAGGAGCCAAATACCTTGCAGGTAGCATGTTCTGAAGGCCAGTTACCAGGCACTGACCTCGTCCCCTCTGAGCAGCAAGGCGCATCGTTCACGGCACGAGGGCTCTCATGGGGCTCTTCCTGTCCCTCCGCACGTCTCTACTCGCACACTGCCGGCCTCGCCGCTCAGCGGGTGAGCCTGCTGCAAGCCCAGGAGGGATGTGGAGACTCCCACAGAACACACTGCCAGGTGAAGGCAGCACTGGAGCTCCTGAGGCCATCCTGCAGCCTCCGCAGGGGACAACATTCCCTACGCGGACATGCCGGCATGGAACAAGGACCTCTTTGCTCGCAGCAGTCACCACGGTGCTGAAGCCTCTCTTGTGCCCTGGAGTCCATCTGCTGAATTACATCCCTTCTCCAAGGGCTGGGCTCTATTTTCCATGAGACGGATAAAAAGCAGCATTCAGTGATCAGCTAGCATCAGCACCGCACAGTTCCCCTTTAGCAACCCGTCTTCTTGGTGGGCCTACAGCACTACCTTGTCTTCAGAAATGTGAAGCCACCCCAGCCCAGACCTTCAGTGCCCCACAGACCCGGAATGAAACAGAGCAAAGGGACTCCAAACCCTGGTGAAATGCAGGTGCCACAGGCACCACCAAGAGCAAGGTGGAAGCAAGCAGCCCACAGGTGAGGAAAAACAGTCTCTCCCACTGCAGAAAGATCTTTGGTGCTGCTGCCACCACTCTGGACTCAACTGTTTGAATAAAGCCATACCCTTCCCAATCCCAACAAACCTTTATTCTCCATTTATTCTTGGTACCACAAATAAATTTGCTGCAAATACTCTTTCATTAGACAGAGGGCACCACTTCCATCACTTTTACATGTTAGCCGCGCACACTCAGCACAGTGCTGTAGGATGAGAGAGTTCCCTGGAGAAGGGAAAGCAAGGAGTTATGGAAACGGCTGGCAGCAGGATGAGCCCATAGGTTTGTCCCTGATCGTGCATCCTGTGCTTAGGCTGCCCCGCATGATGGGAAAAAAAATCAACGAGAAAAACCCACAGAAGAAAAGAGATTTCTCGGGCAAAGGCTTCCATGACACCCTGCTCCAAGGGAACAGCAGCAGCCCAACAGCCTGTGGCTCCAGGAGCCTTTGGCTGCCAAAAGCTGGGATGCTCCCAGCAGAGGAGAGGTATCTGAGTAGTCTAGTTCATGCCTGTCCACGTCTGAATACTTCCCATGAGGACTGAGGCAGGGCCTGTTATCTAAATTCAGCCACCAGGACTGCCTGTTCTGTATCCTCTACTTCTGTCAGGCAAAGGGTACCTTTGTGCCAGCCCTCTCCAAAAATAGTTCATTTCCTCAAAGCCTGAGGCGGCCCTTGGTGAACTGAAAAGACTGCTGAGCCACTGATGGGCACCTAAAAAAAAACTCCTAAAGGAGCGTGAGGAGGAAAAGAGGCTACTGTTCCATACACAGCAGATCAGGGCCAGGGTGGCGGGTGGCAACGTTTCATCTTTATGGGGTCACAGCAGAACTGCTTGCACTAACTTACCTACTAGCAGATTAAAGTAACAACCCTGAAGTAAAGGTCACAAAATAACTAGCCGTTTAAATGCAAGAGGATGATGAAAATAGTGCAAATATTCTTATTCCAAGAGCAGCTAGATAGAACAGCATCTTTCTTTAGCTTTTGCTTGACTCTGCTGCACTTGTGCCCAGTGGTGCCCTGAGGAGGCCACTCACTCACTGCCCTACTATGACAACTTCGAGAAGTTCATGCATCTTTTATTATGACTTTTTGGCCTGGCCAGCACAGATTTATAAACAAGGGTTTCAGCTGAACCTATGAAAAAGCTTTGCAACCAGAAGGGCTAAAAACGCATAGATTCACTGCCAATCCACCTTAAAATACAAAGATTGCCAAGACTTGGGTTCAAATGCCTACTCTGTCTACTGTCCTACAGACCCTTCCATTGCATCTTTCCACGTTGCTGGTCTCAAGCCCTCTTCCTCTCAGACTGCGTGAGTTTTGGATTACTACTTGCTGGAAGTGGCATTTTACTGAGGCTTATCATCAGTCTGGCTGCTTTGACTGCCTTTCAGTCTCTCCAGACTCCCGGATACCACACTTTTCTGTCCCAGAAGATTTGGGGATTTCTGCTACTTTGGCATCACTGCAGCATGTTATAAGATCGGTATTTAATGTTACAATGAGAGGTGGTAAATGAACAGAAGGAGAAAACCCAGTATTATGTTTTAAAACAAAAATAAACTCATGAATCAAGAGAAACTGGCTATCTCAATAGCCTGAGAAGGCAGAAGAGGATTTAGAAAATTCCAGTCTTATTAAAATACAGAGGAAAAAATAAAAATACAAATCCAAAGGTAAACTCATACTATGAATAGCATCTAGGCTACAGCAATAATTATAGTATAAAGATCTCTGAATTACTACACATAGTGCACAATACTGTAGCACTCTTTCCCATTTCTCTCTCTATTCTCACATCATGTCCTGATCTTCTCCACATGGTTCAGTCCCTACTCCAGAAACAAGACAGAGAGCTCACATTGGCAAAGCTTGGAAAAAAAAAATGCAAGAACCCCAAAGTACTCGCCCTTACTCTAGACAGTGGAAGCACCAGGTTTTGTACCATCTCATGGCCGTAACC